CCCCCCCACACACACACAAAAGTAGGCAAGCCACTTACCTCGAGTCAAGCTCAATCAATCCGTAAGAATGCCCTTTCATCGACTATCCGACTCCGAATGGCCCAAATCTAGCCAAACACAATTACATATCATAAATACACAATAATAGACTCATCTAATTAACGAAATTAACACTTTAACGAAAATTCTGAAATTAACTCAAAAATCCCCCATGGGGCCCACTTCTCGGAATCGAGTAAAAGTCATAAAATACAAAAGCCCGTTCACTCACAAGTCTAACCATATCAAATTTATTAAAATCCGACACCAAATGGTCCTCCAAATCCACAAATCAAACTTCCAAATCCCTAGCCTCAAATTCTAAATTTTCACTTTAAATACACACTAACTAGGTGGTAAAATACCTGGGGAAGCAAGATTATTGATCAAAAATAAGCACAAGGGACTTACCTCAAGAGACCCCTCAAAAATGCTCTCAAGAAATCGCCAAACTCGAGCTCAAAATGTTGAAAATGAGCAAAAATCGCGAACACTTACATTTAAGTGTTCTGTCCAGACATCTCGCACATGCGAGCCTTCAACCGCACCTGCGAAAATTCCATCACAGGTGCGAAAATCACTTAAGGGGGACTGAGTCCGCATCTACGAACAAGGGCCGCTTCTGCGCTTCTCTTCCGCTTCTGCGCGTCCGCTTCTGCGGATCTATGGCCGCACCTGCGGTCCCACCTGGACAAGGTCAAAACCTCTTCTGCGGCTCCATGGCCGCTTCTGTGGCGCCGCACCTGTGGCCCAAAGTGCGTAGGTGCGATTACACCAGGTGCAACAGCTCCAGCAATTGCATAAATCCCAAACTCAATCCGTTAAGCACCCGAAACTCACCCGAGGCCCCCGGGACCTCGACCAAACATACCAACCAATCCTAAAACACTATACAAAATTAGTTGAGCCCTCAAACTGCATCAATCAACGCTAAAATCATGAATCATCCTCCGATTCAAACTTAAAAAATTTGAAACTTCCAAATTCAACAACCGATGTCGAAACCAATCAAACCACGTATGATTGATCCCAAATTTTGCACACAAGTCTTAATCGACATTACGGACCTACTTTAACTTCCGGAATCGAAATCCGACTCTAATATCAAAATTTCCACTACCGGTCCAAATCTCCAAAAATTCGACTTTCGTCATTTCAAGCCTAAATAAGCTACGGACATCCAAAACACAATCGAGACACGCTTCAAAATCCAAAATCACCCAACGGAGCTAAAGGAACTGACGAAATTCCATTCCAGAGTCGTCTTTACATAGTTCCGACTACGGTCAAAATCCTAAGACTTAAGGTTTTATTTAGGGACTAAGTGTCCAAAATCACTCCAAAACCCAAAACAAAACCTCGCGGCAAGTCACAATAGCATAAAAAGATATGGGAGAAGTAGTAAATAGAATATCGGGGCTACTACTCTCAAAACGACCGACCGGCTCGTTATATTTAAGTTGAAAGACTCGACTAAGGTCGGATTTTTGAGTAAACGACCTCGGAATCAGTATTTGAAGGTTCCAACAAGTTCGTATGATGATTTTGGACTTGGGCGTATGTCCGGATCGGGTTTTGGATGACCCGGGAGCGTTTCGACGCCTATTGTGGAAGTTAGCATTTTGGAAGAATTTCATAAATTTGGGTAGAAGTGCATTCCAATATTATCGATGTCCGTTTGGGATTCCAAGTCTGGGAATAGCTCCGTATGGTAATTTTGGTATTGGGAGCGCGTCCGAAAGTGGATTCGAAGGTCCGTAGGTCATTTTGGGGTCATTTGGCGAAAGTTAAAAATTTGAAGGTTT